ACATTATAATGTGACGGTCAATCCCACTTTTCGTTGGTAAAAGAGTAGCCCAAGAGTTGGTGTTGGGTGGTCTTACACTGCTAAATTAGGGACGGCTAGCGCAGATAGCCCTCGTGTAGCTTTGCGCGAAAATCAAAACAAACAAACAAACAATACTACCAAGACCTAATTGTGGGGATGAAATTACTAAATGCTAGGCTTAGCTTAATATGCAAGATGAGTAGGTTGGCTAGTTGGATTTGTGAGAAGTATAAGAATAGAGGATTTTGATATAATGGAAATAACTGAAACCTTGCTCAGTATTGACAATTTTGATTACAGGAATTTCTTTGAAATACGGGATTACAAATTGAATAAGAATAGAGTATTAAAAAAAAGGAAGGAGTGGCTTTATATGTAAAATGTGAGTTACAGCTTGTTCGTATTGAGAATATTAAAGCTAACAGTAGTGAGGTTGAATTTATTGGGGGTTTTTGTTAGTGGTTATAAGGGAGGAAGGCTTTTAGTTGGAATTTGTTACAGACCATCAGATGAAACTAATGAAGTTAATGAAAAACTCTGTGGTAAGATAAATTTTGCAACTGTTAATGAGGTTATAATTATGGGATGTCTTAATTTCATGCATATAGATTGGGAAAGTTAAGAGTCAAATCATGAGGGAGACAGCTTTTTAGAACCTGTTAAAAATGGTTTTCCTCGACAACTGATCAAGGAACCTACTAGGAATAATACTATTTTATAATTATTGTTAACTTCTAATAAAGAATTGTCAATAGGGTTGAGATTGGGGAACTCTGGGTGAAATTGATCATTGCTGAATTAGGTTTGATTTTTTGCTGCATATGGAGATAAGAAATAATGAGATTTTAGTTCCAAATTTTGAAAAGATGACACAAGAATTATTTGCTGTGAATTGGGTTACTGAATTAGTTGGAGGTACGAATGAAATATGGAACAATTTTAAAATAAATTCTTATATATTCAAGAAAAAGTGTTCTTTATAATAAAAAAAAGAGTGGCTGCAAGTAAAAAACCAGTTTGACTCACAAAAGGTATAAAGGATAAAATTAAAGAAAAGCATTATAAATATAAGAAATTTAAACTGAGTGCAATGATTGGAGATTTGGAAAGATACAGAAGATCAAAAGAATTGATCAAATGGGAAATTAGAAAATCAAAAATGTATATAAAAAAAGGTTGGCTGAAAATGTAATAGTAAGGATTTCTTCAAATATTTTAAGGGTAATCAAAATGTTTGGATGGGAGTAGAACCTTTGAGGAATGATACAGAAGGGCTAATATCTGATGTTTATGGGATGGCTGGATTATTAAATTTATAATGGTCTAAAGTTAACTTATCAAATGAATATGTAAATTATGTGAACTAACTTGTTAAAGCTCAGTGTAGAGTTTTCAATCATTTGTTCGAACACAAATTCAATTTTTTCTTTAATTTTTATTAATGAAGATTTAAGCAGTATTCATCATCCTGAACAGTTCTTGGTGGAAACAAGGTTGGACAAGATGATCACATTAATTCTGAGTTTGTTAAGAAATAATTGGGAAGTCAAGAGACTGATGAAGCTGCTTGAACTGATAATATTTACCCAAAGGTTTTGAAAGAAGCTAAGGATTGGATATGTGAGCTACTTGCTATTATTTTTTTGGAAGTCCTTGAATAATGGGCAGGTGCCAGAAAATTGGAAGATCAATAAGTTACTCTTCTATTTGAGAGAGATGATAAAATTGCCCCAGTAATCATAGACCTATTAATCTTACATTAGTGGTGGGAAAAGTTTTCAAAAGTCTGATAAAATATGTCTTTCAGAGGCTTTTTACCAAGTCTAAAATTTTGTTGGATAGTCAGCATGGTTTCACTAGGAGAAAACCTTGCCTTACTAATCTTTTGACATTCTTTGAAGAGGTTACTGCTTATGTAGATGAGGGTACAGGTGTGGATGTGGTGTGTCTGGGTTTTCAGAAAGCATTTGACAAGGTGCTGCATAAAAAGCTTGTTAAAAAGTTATCTCTGTAGATGTGAGAGATAGATTGGCTCCTTGTATAGAAAACTAGTGAGATGGAAGAAAGCAAAGGGTTGTTAAAAATGGAGTTCAGTCAAACTGGATTAATATCACAAATGGGGTACCTCATGGCTCAGTGTTACAACCTTATCTCTTTTCAATTTCCACCAATGATATAGAAGAAGGAATGATCGATATATTATTTAAATCTTGGATGACATTAAAATTTTTGATGCTGCTGGCTGTGAGGAAGATTCTGCTACTTTGCAAAATGATTTGGATTATTTGGAGAGTTTGGCATATAAATGTCAAATGACATTTAATTATAATGAATGCAAGATAATGCATATGGGATATCACAATTAGAATTGTATATATAATGTTCATGGGAATAACCTTAACAGTGTCATGGTAAAAAAGATTGTGGGGTTTTGGGTGATCAGTCTTTTAAACCTTCCAAGCAATATGTTGTTGCTAGTGGCAGGGCAAATAGGATTTTAGGATGTATCTAGAAAAATATTGAATACAAATCTAAAGAGGTTATAATGTCATTGTATGGGTCATTGGTTAGACCACATTTGGAGTATTGTGTTCAGTCTTTGGCTTCTTACCTTAGAAAGGACATTGAATTGTTGGAAAGTATTCATAGGAGGGCTACTAAGATAATAGCTTGGCTAGAAAGGTTGTCATATGAGGACAGGTTAAGATCTCTGAACTTGTTCTGTCTTGACAAAAGAAGGGTTCAAGGGGATCTGATGGAGGTGTTTAAGATTGTTGAGGGAATTTTTAAGTGCTGATGAATTCTTTTTTCCATACTTAGTAGTGAGAATGTAGGACCAAAGGACACAAATATAAACTTTGGCAAGATAGGACTCATCATCAGCTTTAATTTTCTTACAGGGTGGTTGGCCCTTGAAATGGTTTATTCAGTTGTGGTAGGTGCAGTTAACTTAAGGATGTTTAAGGGAAAGTTTAATAAGTATTTGAATGATAAAGCCTGGCCTTGAGTTTTGTAAATTTTTTTTTACTTCGTGAATTGAGACAGCCTAGATGGACCAAAAGGTCCCTTGTTGTCCTTTCATGTTATGTTAATTTTCTAGCATGTGAAGTTTAGCAACTGACAAGTTAATTTGTAATTACTTGTACATTTGGAACTTAATGTATCGTGACAGTTTTTTGAAATGGTATACAGAATACAATGTCCTCCCATACTGATGGAGTGTTACTCAATTTTAGAAATCCCTTGGAAAAGTTTACTACTGCTTAACAGGGGCAGTAAAATCACACATACATAAATACAAATGTGTGTGTGTGTGTGTGTAATTTTCTTATTAAATTGTGATTTTCAGGTTCTTACTTTCCAAAAGCTAAACCACAACACAGTTGGCTTGCAGCTACATCTTCTGGGATCTTAAGGTTGTTATTGTTCCCAATATTCTTCAGATGGTGAGTTTTATTTTATGTAAATCTTTCGATATTTTTATTAGAAACACATTTTTTAGTTCCTACAGGTTTTAATTTGTTTCAAAATGAAACAATGACTAAACATTAAATGATATTTTCTTTCAGTGCATTTAATTTAATCTATATAGGTCTTTCATATTCTTATGCACACTCAGAAAAAATATTTTTAATCAATAAGACTTCAGAAACAAATTTTTCATAAATATGGCTTACTCCAAGAAATAAGAGAATATACGTATTACAATATGTTGTTTATTCATTAGTCTTCACTCTATTTTCACTACATTATTTTAAAACTAGTAAACTAAATAATGGTTCTTAAAATGCTTAACAATTATCCTGTATTCATATATGATGTCTAATTCCATATTTTTAGTATACCAGTTACCAATTTTTGTTAAAGTTAATTTACAAGAAATGGCAGACGAGATAAAAATACCTAAAAATTTGTATTAATAAATCTAAAAGTTTAAATATTTGTCTAGTCTTATGTAATTCCATGTATTGCCAGTAAGTTTTCATTATGCAAATACAAGCAAAAGTACCCATCCCCAGTGATGGGAAAAGTTTAAGTTAATCTACCAATTTAAATTATTTCATGGACTTTAAAAAGGTTAATTGTGTTGCACTCTTGGTTTCACTCAGCCAAAGCTCTGGGCTGCTTATACTGCCCACACTGAAAAGTAATTGTTGAGCATTTCAGTCTATGAAGTAAAGATTTATGCTGATATTGTTCTGGAAACCACTCTCATGTTGTTGCACTCATTAACAATATTGTGGTTTTCCCACACAATTGCATTCCATTATCTTTTATTGTTTTCTCTGTTTACTGCTACAATTCCATCAAACAGTGACCTTTCCAATATTCTATTATCTTCTTTGTTTTCTCTGTTTATTGCTGCAATTCCATCTAACGGTGACCTTTCTAAAGAACTTTGAGTCAATAAAATCTTTATTTTAATGTGATATTTAGCCAGTAAGTTTTCTTGTATGATAACACATACCCACATTTATACATTATTTAAAATGATACTTCTTCTGAATAATTGTAATTGTTGTCAAGTGTGCTGTCATGTGTATCAAGCATCAATGGGTATGATGATTGCAAGTCATGAACCAGTTTTAAAAAAAAAATTTTAGATCTGAAAGAAAAGCTAATAAGGATGCAATGAAGCAAAATAGTTGATAATGTACGTTACAATTCTGTTTTTATAGCCCTGATTGCCTACAAAATATTTAGTAAAAAAAATTTCACTCAAAATAATGTGGCCTATATTGATCACTGTATGAATAACTGTTGACCTAATCAGGTGTGAGCTAACAGGTTGTATCTAATGGCAAATACTTAACTATTTTATACACAGTGGTTAGGTTTATGACACTCATTATATTATAATGCTGTTTGAATTTGCATTTATCCCTCTGTTTTTAATACCAAATTTTAGGCAATGACTAATGAAAAAACTTAGGCTGGAAACATTGTTAATTATTTTTTGAAGTATTTACGCTGAAGATGTATTAGGAAATTCTGATATGTCCACATTTTTTATTCTTTCAGCAATTCTACAATTATTGTTTTTTTTCCAAATGAGTCTTGAGCTTATTTTATGTAAGCAATATCATTTCAACAACAGTCACATGACACCTGTTTCAGTGCGGGTGGAAATACATAGTTTAAAAACCTGTCACTGCTCAGTATTACCAAATTAGCATATTAAACCATTTTTGTAAGTCACATTTTCTAGGGCTTGTTTTTCACAAAACTAAAATATACAAATTAGTGTGCAGGTTGTCATAAATTAAAAATGGGTATGTGAAAATGTTGGAGTTACACTTACAAGGACATTTCAAAGACTTCCTGATAAAAACCATTAATTTTCCCAGATTTCCAATACTGAAAAATTTCTTTACAAAATTCCATGACTTTCTACGACTTGCATGATTGATCTGTGTGAACCTTGTCTAAAGTATTTATTTTCTAAAAACAATTTATTTTGTTTTATTGAAATTAATTGCAAAATAGTCAGCAAAAGTTTGTAAAGTGGCCAGTAAACATTGCTGACTCTTAATCTGAACCCTGGGACATATGGACAGCTTTTGATTTTAACTGTTGCATGGATTCTCACCTATTATTCTCACTTTGCTCACCGTAGTTGGAGCACAGCTTGTTGCGGATCTCTTTCTTGATGGTTCTGTTCTCACATTGATCCATATTCCTTTGTTTTCCAATGCCATTAAGCAGAAGGGATGTTCTTATCTTGGACATTCTAAATTTTCAACCTGAACACATCTTCATAATCTGCGTACATGCATACTCTGTGTTGGATAGAGATCTTACCCTTCCCAAAAGTGATAAATTTTCAGCATATCACATTACCTACAAAGTATCAAAAAATGTCAAAATGTGGTTCTTGTGCATGCTGTTTTACTACAACTTTATATTGGCTGTAGCTGTTGCATGACTTGTTGATTTACATATTCAAGATAGTTTTAGTATAAAGTACTCAACCATTTGCACTCAAGTGCAAAATATAATTTTCAAATACAGATTTTTTTAAAACTTGAGTATAAAAGAATCCTTCAACACTTATTATTGATTTTGATATTTGTTATAGGTGGAAGTTACAAACATGCCCCCTGGTGGTCACAGTTCTTTTAGTTCTCTATTTCCTGCAGATAGTTGCAATCATTTTGTATACTACTGGAGATAATGAGTTCTCTGTGAGTACTTAATTTGTAGTGTGTTTATAGATAACCATTTTTGTAAATAACTGTTATATTCTCCCCCCCCCCCAAAAAAAAAAATTAAGAATATTACTACATGTAAGGAATACTTTTATTCCATTTATGAAATTATTTAGAAAAAACAGTTATCTAAAACTATCATATGTACATTGGAGAAGCTTTTAAATTTTAGTACTATTTCTCAGAGGTTTTCTGTATGAAAATTTGTTTTAGTGGTAATGGTAACTTATAATAAGTTTTATTAAATAATTTTTATAGGTCTAATAGAGGCTTTTAACAGTAATGGTTCAGCTACATTTTATTTTTTGAATGCCTTATATTTAATACCAAACCTATCAAGCTCACAGTGGTACAAGATACAAATATGAAAGTGAAAGACTATTTATAACTATTTGTAGCTGACCTTTACTACATATTAAGTCCTTTAGCCTTATTTGGCAAACCATGATTTTTTAATAGTTAATAAATATTGCATTATGTCACAAGGTTTTAATCACATTAGATTACTGGCCATTTTATGTAGGGTCCTTAAAACTAATTTCTGTTTCATGTACCACGTATAGAAAGTTCGAAGACTTCGTATTATAGTAAATTCTATATCATAGGTTAAATTGGGTATTATATTGCTGACTAAGTGGTGAAATTTGAAGTAACCACTTTTTTTTTAACATGATCCCATTTTTTCAAAAACAGTGATTGAGAAATCTATTTTAAATATTATGCATAAAAAACAAATACATCATCAATACATTATGGTTAATAGCTTTTACGAGTTACATAATTATCAGATAGAAAGCTGTAGCTAGTAAAAGCTAATGACTGATTTAATATTCTGGATCATTCATTTGACACAAACAAAAGTAGAAAAAATATTTTATAAACCCAAAACAGTGACATATTGTTTATAATGAAGTGACATAAAATGTTTGTATATCAATAAGAATAAAAGTCAATCATTACTTTGGTTTACTTATCTACAAAAATATCAAGCAGTTTGAATTTTAGCAAAACCTTTTGATTGAGTTATCAATACATAACACAGTTTAGATGAATAACATTTCAGTGTTTATTCAAATATATATCATGATTTATATCCTATAAATAGATATACCTATACAAATTCTCGTATATACATTGTGTATAATTATAACACGTTATTCAGGATCACTGTCAGATAAATCATCATCAACTTCATTTTCTTCATTGAAGTCATCCATGTTTTCACAACTTTCAGCACTGCCTTCATATAAACATATACATCTCCACAATCTAGAAGCATACATCATCATTTCTGTTATTTCTCTTGGTACTTACTCTTGAGTCATGAGCTCTAGTTTCGGACCATATTTTGATCATCCATGTCCACATGGTCTGTCAAGTTGTATCCTTGCCATTAGAAATCTTTTCTAGACAGCACTTCGATAGTTTTCTATCTTAATATGCTATATAAGGCCATCTTTGCAAGGTGGTAAGCTTTGATTTTTGTACTGGCTTCTTACAAAACATTTTATCTTGTAAAATATTAATGTCTTCATTGTCTTTTTTTTTCAGTTGGTATAGTGTACAGACAAATTTTTCACAGGTATTTATTACTTTATCAGTCATCTCCAGGGACTCACCCAGCTTTGATAAAGGTATTTCCTTGAATTGTTTCTAATCATATTTAGCACCTTCTTCTTGTCTTTTCTTAAAGAATCTTGTGCTATTGCACCCAGTTAAAAGTATGGAAAGGTATAAGCAGGGATTACGTCTCTACCTAGATTTGCCACAATGGTGTGTATGGGAATAAATCCAGTTTCTTTATTGTCTGTTTTGAACCACATTTGAATACATATTTACTCACTAAAACATGTTCCCAAAATCAGAACATCTGTATTGGGAGACCGTATTATTCCCATAGTTAAGTCTTATATTTGAATCAATAATATTTAACAGTAATTGGGAATATGCTTCCTCTTGTGTTGAATACATACCATTCAATCCTCAACCATGTTGCAAGTAATCAAAATGACTCTCCTCTGGTTTCAAAACCTTCCTGATAATTCTAAATGCTGGTTTTGGTGGAGTACTTTTGGCATACTAAATAACCATTGATTGAAGGCAGTCATTCAAATTGTTCTTGTTCTTCAGATTTGTAAGGTAGGTATTCATATTTTATGGCAGATTTTGTTGTTTTGAATGAATAATTATTTCTGGTGACCCTTCCACATTTCCCAAACCTTTTTCTCTCTACGGCTTTTAGAGATTTAGCTTGATCGTACCTATCGGATACAAAAACACACATAAATTTCCAAGTATTATTTGTTCTGCCTTGTAATTGGAGATATCTTCACTATCAATGCATGGGCTTATTGTAATTCCCTTTATCTATTGTACAGGTAACCTAAGTATCATAGCCTCATTGAATGGTAGAAGTTTATCCGAATCTTCATCTGAAATTGTAAGATCTGCTTCAGTAGCCTCTTCTTTGATATTTCACTTTATATCAGACAGCTTACTAATTGTTATCTTTAAATCAACATTGCTACTGTATACAAGATCTGGTTGGTTCACAACAGGCGTCTTGTGAAAAACAGTTTTTCCTTCAAAGTACTTTTCAAGTCTATATTTAAGTCTTTTTGTATGATATATTTCAGGGTTTGGGTATTCACAATCAGCAAGGTAAGTTTTATATAAGTACAGTAAATATGTTATCTCAAGAGCTTCTCCTTGTAGAAAGGTATCTTTGATTTCATTAATTAGTTTTTCAAAAGTGTAAGAAAATATGTGCACTCTTTCGGTTGGCTTATCCTTGCTTGCAGCTCTATCAGCTCTCAACATATATTTGCTAAGACAGATTTTATGATATTTTGATCTAAGGCAATTAGAGGGATCCTGTAAAGATTCTGCTGCATACTGGATTTTATTTTGTAGCATGAAATTACTTGTGTTGTATAAAAACTGAATCTCCCCATTTCTTATAGTGGTTACAAAAAAAAGATGCTTAGAACATGTGATATGGTGATCATTTCCACTACTCGTGCTTGATGTATCTATGTCTTCCTGTTTCCATATGTCTTTTTGGTAACACTGTGAAAACAATTGAATAACGAAATCTAGTGTCATCAAGAACGTCATTCTCTCAGAGTTTTCTGTTGTTTTCATCATCTTGTTCTCTCAGTTGGTTATATAGAGTAGTTATTCCTTGTTCATTTGGTTTAACAAGTTTCTCATTTTTCTTAGGTCTCTTGAAGCAAATTATCTATATAAATAATGTACTTATGTTTGTCTGTCCCAAACTTTTCTTGCATATTTCCTGTTCAAATGCAACAAATTTCATATCATTGGAAAATCCTTTGTCCAAGGAGTCTGTATTGCATATTGGCTTTTTCATTTACAACCACCTTACCTGTTTTTTGTTTTGCATAGTCAAACTTTTTAATGCAATGAGTATGGTACATGATGGCACAATGTCATTGTCATCACATGACGACTGGCTTCGATTTCAACTTTAGCTTTTCAAAAACAAACATACCTCCGTTCATACTACAGCTATTACTCGATTGCTAGGGTTTCCTTCCTTTGCCTTGGTGTGAGAGGAGGTAAGTATTATTGAAAATACGTTTTTGGTTTAAGAAAATGATAACTTTTATTTGCAAAGTATTTCACACAAACAGCACTTAATCAGTGTGTAATTTCCTAAAAAAGATTAACATTACAGTAAATACAATTTCTGTTTGCTATCTTGACTTATTTAGGTCTAAAATGTGCAAGTACGGTTCATTCAAAACCATATGCTTATCACTTTGTGAACGCATTCACAGATTTCTGCATATTCATCTAAGTTTGCCTTCATTACAATGTTACATTTACTTTACTTTGTAATAATTTAGCTTTGGTTCATTCCATAGACTGCCATAAACTCCATTTATCTACCTTTTTCTTTACTATGGGTCTTATTCTTCATTTTTGTGAGTTTCTTTGTTTCAACTCAGAAAACCATGTCATGCACTGAATGCTCATAACTGTTTCATACTCTGTACACTATTATAAGCACCATTACTTTACGTTGTTGTTTACTTTACACGTAATTTTATAAAGTAAAGTTATGTCTATGTGAGTTTGTCTTACCAGATAAAAGTTTTTCAAATATACCAGGATTTATTGATCTAACACGTAATCCCTGCAAGAAAGCATAGTTCAAATGGTGTGCATGAAACTGATAGAATAAAGAAAATTCTAGTGAAGGGCATGAAAACTGCCACAAATGTTTTGCAAGTTGTGGCTAGTACATCTATTGTAGTATGACTTAACAAATGTCTGTACTTATTTCAGTGGTGATGACCCCAAAGTAAATGTGACCCTCATCCTATTCTTCTGAACCACTCATTATACTCAGGTCAGATTTTGACCTGGAAAGAGAAAATAAAGTATTTTGGATAGAATTGTTTAAAATGTGTTGATAAATTATCTTCATTGATACTGGAAATAAGAATTACAATCCAATACTGCCAACTTACTTCCTTTACAGTTCACATGCCCTTAATGCAGACTATGTATGAATATAGTTATAAGAAAACATCAAAACTGGGCATAAACCAGTATCAGAGGTATTAAACAAGTCTGCTACAAATCTATTAATGTTAAAAAAGCCTTTATCTTGTGAAGGATGAAAAATGGGTGTGCCATAATATATGTTTGATAATGACACGTATCCTTTGTGTATTGCAAAAAACAACACATAATTAGACTATTTACAAATGTGGCCATTTTCTTGAAAGTAGCCACAGAAGAAAAAATATAACATCTGGTTTCTTAATGTTCAGGACATTACTTTTACAAGAATATATCAAACCCTTGCAAAATGGTATGTGAAACAGAACCCCTATTAGATTTTTGGCCAGTAACCTACATTTTTATAACTCCATATTCATGTGATGTAATATCCTGCCTATTACAGTGCTCATGAAAAATAGGTGTGGATGCATTACTTTTTTTGTTTTGTGAAACTTTCTAGTGTGCATACATTTTTTTTGTTGAGTACCCGTGTGTAAACACTTGTTTTACTAATACAGATTTTATAACATTTTCAGCATTTATAGACAGGTTGTGGGTTAGTCCTGTTTGCATAATTAACATTTTAAAATAAGTGCATTGTAAATGTATGTAGATCTATACAATTGTAATAAAAAAATCATCAAATGGGTATCAAACTTTTGGTAGTGAAATGACAAAATTACTTTAAATGAAACTGATGCAAAAAAATGCACCTTAAATAAGATAAATTGTAAAAAGACCAAATCATTCTTTTGTCTAAGTTTTAGAAAAATTGAACATTTTGATTATAAATACATTTGCCAATAGCAGTTTTTTGACACATATAGTAATCGGTAGTATAGAAAATGTGCTGCACTAAACTATTCTAATTTCCTTTTGACTGTGTGTGTTTAACAAAACATCAATGAAGTGCAAAGCACTGACTTAATTTATATGCTGTAAGCATGGCAAAATTCATACATGGTAATTTTATAAATCATATATACACACGTTGTTTCTATAAAAGTAAAGCTTAGTGAAAATGCTTTTGAGAATGGATGACCATTAAGAATATACGGTTTTTACACATACTTGCATGTATCTGTAGTGTTTTTTAACATGCTTGCACATTTTGCCAAAAGGGGCACATATTGTTTGTAAACTTGTGTACCTTTATGTTTCCTTACAGTACTCATCAATATCAGTACATTTTTTAAAAGTATCTTTGTTTGGCAACATATGTCTTTACATAGTTTCATGGAAAATGTTTAGTATAGATAAATAAAATCTGTTCTTCATCAACAAGCCTGTAAATATACATGACACTGGTTTTCTTTTTCTTAGGCAGTTCCATTATCAGAGGTGACAACCCCTGTTGTGATGATGCTGGTCTTAGCAGTTATCCACTCCCATATTGTAGCCACTTTAAATAATAAAAGTTCTCACACTAAAATCCCACAAGCAAAAAGGTAACGGTGTTTAAAATGTTTTATTTTTAATCTAATTGTATTGTGAGTTGGTTTTGACATTTTTCATTTTTGTTTTTATGACTTTAAAAAATTAGTGTAAAACTTCGAAGTGCAAGTCTAAAAAGTGTTTGTGTTATGTTGAGGTTTTATATGTATACTTATTCATTAATTTCTGTTTATCTGCTTTTTCGTTTTTTTTATTAGATTTCATACTTTCGTTTTGGTTTTATTGAAGTAATTTCTATGCCTTTGTCTTGTTTTTCATGATGTTAGTATTGAGTTCTTCAAGTCTCATTGAAGCAAGGATTTAGCATGAAACTGTGAACACCATAAATGAAATGACTAAAACATGGTAGAATTTATATAAAACATTGTACACAAAAATGTAGTACATGAACAATATCTTCACATATGTTATTGAAAGTTTGAGAATTAATGTAGTTAAACTGTGATTGAGTTACTTTAAAGACCATGTGTTTGTATAGTTTTAATTTAACATTGCTGTAGTAGCAAATCATACAAAACTGTTAAAGCATTTCGGTAGGTTTTAGAATATAATGTGTTGATTTAAGTACAAATGTCCAGTTTTACAATAGGTTTATAATTTTGGCTACAGTAGGAAGAGATTAAAGAGAAAATCACGTCTACGAAGCTCTGCTGATTATGAATCCAAATCATCTCCTGAAACAGCTTCAGAGGATAGAGCTGACCACTCCCAAAATTGTCCAGCATTTCATTCTACCTCTTTTGAGTCAAAAGAAAAACCAGGTTATCCAAACTCCAAGTCTATGTTAACTGGAAAGGGAAATTATAAGCAGGGTTTAGACCTCAGTCAAAAAACTAAAGGGTGTTTTCTGGCAGCTAAAATTGGTCAGTATTTTTTTTTAATTCTGATGTCGTACTTGTGATTATTTTCGCTTTAAAAATTCTTTTTTGTCTTAACACTTAGAATTATCCCTATTTTAATCACTCTTAGTTTGTGAAAGTCATGTTTGTATAGATAACTTCATGCCTTACTTTGTTTGTGTGTGTATAGATACCTCCATGCCTTACTTTGTTTGTGTGTGTGTGTATAGATACCTCCATGCCTTACTTTGTTTGTTTGTGTGTATAGATACCTCCATGTCTTACTGTTTACATGCTAAGCTTATGTGTAGAAATTAAGTTCTATACAAATGGTATATGATAAATTTAAAGTTATTTACATAAATTGAAACAAATACAAGTTATTTGTAAAGAGATTTTTTTTAGAAAAAGGCTTTTCAGATATGTCAGGCAAGCAATACAGATTATATCTTCATACTAATTTTCTACGAACATTCCATGAGGCCAAAACCTAATCTTTTCAAATAAACTCAAAGTGTAAGAATTTTCTTCTAAACTGGTCCACTTTTATTTATTATTTTGTACTTTAAGTAAAATTGTTCATTTTGCTAAATTTTAAGTTACTTTTTAGTAAAGTCATATTGTTGTCGTCATCGAGATCATGTGATTCTCACGCTCTCTACTTTCTAGAATTATCCTGTACTTTGGC